CCCCAAAACCCCAAAACCCCAAAACCCCAACTATAATATTTATGATTGAAAATGCTTGATAACTTCAGGAGAACATTTGTTAAGGATTCATTAGCTAATTCATGAGGTTTCAAGAGGCAAATGATTACCCTAGATCTGAATATTCACAGTAGATTTATATTATCCCACCTAAAATCCCCAAAAATAGAGCCACTCAGCTATTCACTCCAGAACAAATCTTAAAAAAGTGACCAAAATGGGCTAAAATTTAGCAAAACACCAAACCTTCTTTTGGAATTTTTTAAGAATGTATGGGATTGAGTGGAAATTTTAGGATTTTAAGCGGGATTTTAGGAATTTTGTGGGGGGTTTTGAAGGAAGAAGGAGGGGGTAGGGGAGAGGAGATGGAAGAAGTTTGGAATGTTTGGAAAAGTGTAAAGATGGTATGAGAAGGAGGGGAAGTTTAGCAAGGATTGTTACTAAAACATTAGTGTCTGGGTTCTCATTAGGATGAGCTTAAGTGCGCTGAAGTAAACGTTTCTTGACTTTTTCATGACTTCACTGAACTCTAGTCTTCTTTGGAAGTGTTTCATGTATTGGTAAAAGAGTTTGGTTAGAGACTCGTTTGAGAAGAACTCTTCAAGTTTCTCCAGGCTGAACTTGTACAGGATTTCATGAAGTCTCTTCGCTTTTGAGTTCTGTAACGAATCTCCTTGGTACTTTTGGGGAAGCTGGATGTTGCTTCGATTGAATGAGTTCATCTTGTGTTTTACAAAACATCTGAGGTAGAACTTCATTTCATCCTGAGCTTCTGTAGCTGAATCTGGAAATTTCCTATTCACAAAATCATCGATCAATTCAAAGATATAGACTAGATCTCGAGATCTCCTGCCTGATTTCTCAACGAAAAGTTCACAGAAGTACTTTCTACAGTCTCGCAAGATGGTCTTGTACACGACATCGCACCTGGTGCACAAGTTTACTGTGGGGTTGTTGAAATGGAGGCAGTCTTTGCCTCCGTCATCAGTGGCAATCGTCACTTCGAACTCTTTGAGAAATTGGAAAAATTCTCCTTCTGGAATTCTAATTTCAGAGCTGAGAGGATTCGAACTCAATCTTTCTGCAATTGGTAGTTTTTGGAGCGATGATGCTTTACAAGTCCTTCTCTTTCTTCTCTTTGACTTCTGGCGCTTGAGAGCTGGAATTATTATCTGCATTATTTGTCAATCTTTGTTCCGATCACCAGAATGTTCTAAAACCACTGTTATTATGGAGTCGATCGAGGTGATAGCACAAAAACTATTATTTTATTGCGCAGACTAGATTCTGACTTCACACATTTGAATAAAAAATATTATAAGTAAGTGGTTTTGTGTATTCACCATTCCATGGTTAAAACTTAGCAAATTTTCTTGGTCTAAACTTTCATTACTCGATGCTTCTAATAAAGCCTAAATATATCGTTTTGGTGTTTAAAAGGCTAACTATACCATTAACTCTTGCTGATTAAATAATCAAGAAACATCGTAAATTAAGTGAGTCTTGAAATATCAAACTCTTCATATTCCCAAAATATGAGATTTTTTCAGACACCAACTGTTGTCCTACCCTTTTGATGAAAAATCCAAATTAAGGCAACAAAATCTAATAAAAAACCTGAACTTGTTGTTAACTTTCTTTGCAAATTTCGGTGACAAATCAGCTATTAAATATCTCCCATATTCAAAAAAACTACATATCTTTATCAACCTGAAATTCAGGTGACTTGGCGCAAGTCATGCCATAAACAGCCGTTTCAGAATAAAAGTTCCTAAGGAACACAGACGCATGATTAAGGGCCTGAAACCCCAAGATATAGAGGATGCAGGCCAAGAGTTATACTTCAAAATTGTGTTATGAAGTATCAGCAGATTCACAAATAGCTATGAATTACCTTGGTTTTTATTATCAACTTCTTCCTTTGCAACTTCAACTACATCAGGAGTCTCTTCATCAGTCTGGTCCAGAATAATCTGAGGGGTATCCATCTTTGGCATTTGTTGAGGAGGTGGAGATTTCAAATTAATGGGCTTCTGACTCCATTCGATATCTACAGTAAAGTTAGCTGAGCAATCACTGAAATATCAGAATTGCATAAACCAATTCAGGGTAGATTGGTTGCATTCTTGCATTCAAATAATCTTAAAACCAACAAAGCTTTGGACTTACCTATTAGTTTCGGAAAAGAGTTGAACTCTAAGCTTGATGGCCTATTTGGTGTCACAAGTATTAAATAGTGTTAACTTACCCCAAATTGGAGTTCTGCTTTGAATAAAAAGTAAACGGCGACTTGTAGGTTAAGGGAGCTTTGACGCCAGTTTCTTGAACAGGGAAAGGCAAGTGTCTTTGGATGTGCATGTTCTACAACTAGTGAGTCAAAAGTATGAAGGAAGTGATGCTAATTATAACTACAACTGAGTATTCTGACTTCTAAGCAAGCAGACTCTTCAGAATATAAAATTGAACAATCCTTACAAATTGGTTTTGGGTGAGAGTTAATAGCTTAAAAAGATATTATTAAAATTTCAATTTCTAATCACCAATATGGGGTTTTGGGGTTTTGGGGTTTTGGGG